CCGGGCGCCCCCCCAGGAGTGCACGAACCCCGGAGCCGCCCTCGATACGGACCGCGCCCGCCGGGCACACAAGAATGGTCACTGTAGGTACTCCCTTGTCGCTGCGAGACGAACACGAGAGGGAGGGGCTGAGTCTGGCTCCACGGAGACGCCGTGGGGGGGGTAGGACCAGGCCTAGCTAGGCCTGAGTGGGGGGGTAGGACCGTTCCTCGGGCCTGAGAGTGGTTAGAGTCGCATCCGGAGTTCTGGGGAGCAGAGCCTGGTGTGAGAGGATTGGCGAGCTGGGCTGTGTGCGGGGTGCCCTCGGCTACCCCGGGGTCGGGATGGCCCCTCACTGGAAGACTGTGGGGGAGGGGCCGCGGCGCGGAGGATGTTTCCAGCATCCCAGGCCCAGACCCGTAGGCCGCCCAGGAGGACGCGGGCCGCGGTGGCCTTCTGTTGGTCTGGGCAGAGGCCTCACGGCATTCTCCGAGAGCTATTTTTTTTGGGGGGGAGAGGATGAAGAGGCGGGGTGTAATCGGATTGCGCTACCCCGGGCTCCAGCCGCGCCCGAGAGGCGGGCATCTTCGTCCTCGAGCCCCGTCGACCTTGCGGCAAGCGGGGAGGAGAGAGGAGGGGGCGCCCCGAGGCCTCGCTGTCACCGTCGTGGTCTCTTTGTCTCTCCGCCCTTCTTCGCGGGCCATAGCCTCGCGCGGGGCCCCGGGGCTGCGGGGGGGGGGGGGAGCGGACAAGAGAGGGGTTTCCCGTTCCCTAGCCACTGCCTCCAGGTGAGGGGGTGAGGGGCTGTAGCAGCATCCCATCGGGCCTGCTGCACGCGCCCTCCCCGGGCCAGGGCTCAGGGCCTCGGGGTGACCTTGAACGCGCCCGCAACTCTCGCCGCTCGGCCGGCGCGCGTTCGCTTTCAGCAGTCTCAGAGCTGGTCAGCTCCCGAACTCGCGGCCCCGCCCGGCGTGCCACGCCCTGCCTGCCACGCCCATCCAGGCCCCGCCCCGAGGCCCCCAGGACCTGGCCTGGCGCGAGCCCTCGGACCTCCACCCGGTAACCCGGGCGTGTCCCGGGGCGGGGCTGGCCAGTGCTCACCGCACCCTGGCTCCACCCCCGCCTCCCTGAGCGACTAGCTCCCCGCGCCGCCGCGCGTCCTTTGTCTGGTCCCCGCGCCCAGCCTACCTTTTCTGCTCTTCGGAGATCTCTCCTTGTGTGTCTCTGCACACCAAGTGTTGTTCCCGGCCTCTTTTTCGAGTCAAGGCTAGCACAGTGGGGGTCGGGAAGCTCAATAGTCCATCCTGGGCCTTTTCTCTCTTGGACCCCGGGACAGGACCACCTCCTCCCCGAAGCCTTCCTAAGACGGGCTCATCGTGCTGTGTGACCTCAGACTGGTTCCTTACCATCTCTGGGCCTCAAGGTGCTCGTTCAGGTCTGAGAACAGGAGTGTGGCCTCCTTGGGACTCTCAGAACCCCTATAACAATATAGCAACCCCCCCCCCGACTTTCCCCTCCTCTGTTGTTCTGCTTGAAAAGAATGCGCAAGAGAGAAGAGGGTGTGGTCAGAGGTTACAGGAGGGCCTGGAGCCCCTTGAAGGCCTGTTAATTCCCATGGGTGGTGGTGGGGGGACTCTCAAGAAGGAGGAAGTGAGGGGGATGGAAACGGTGAGGCCCCTAGCAGAAGTAGAAGGAAAAGGGTTCAGAAATAGGAGGCTCAGTCTGCACCACGTGGTGGCCCGACTTGCCTGCACAGATAGCCACTCAATGCCCTATTGTCACCAGTATCCAGGCATCTGTCACTGTGATTGGAGCCCAGAGGCCCAGCTGAAGGCCAAGGGGGTCTGAGGAACAAGTGACTTTAGGTGTGTTTTTGACAAATCTCTACCTCAGCTGTGCGTGGTGGTGCTGGGGGGGGGGGGTGCAGTGGAAATGAGAAAGAGGGAAAGGATAAGCCAAGGGAGAGAAACAGACCCATAGGAGGGACCAGGAAGGGAGGGGGAGAAGTCCTGCTCGGTCAGTCCTGGGCCAGTCCTCAAGGTCCTTCCGCTGTGGTGCCACCAACCCAGGCTGCAGTTACTACAGAACAGGCCGGGTGTGGCTTCTGCCAATCCGATCCCCATTATCGGCTTAGGCGGCTCAGTAGGTTCAGCTGTGAAAGGAACACCAGGCCTGCCCAGCTAAGCTCAAGCAGAGAGGAGGGAGAAGCACTAAGATGAGCAGGCTGTCAGCGAACCCACAGAACTAGCACACCCTGGTGCCCTTACCGTGATGGGGCACAGCTGTAGGTAACTCCACACTCCGGGCTCAGTAAGTCAGGGGTCAGCTGCTGACTTGGAGCTGGCAATATGGCTCAGTGGGTACTTGTGCCAACCTGAGTTCCATCCCTAGGACACACATGGTGGAAGAAAATAACTAACATCCAAAAGTTGTCCCCTGGCCTCCACACAGGAGCACACACACACACAGGCCTATCTAAGATAGGCTCCATAGCAAACACTAAGCCGTTATCTCTGGCCTTGGTTTCTTCATTTGAAAAATGGTCTCCTTTTTCCGTATAGTGCTGGAAGTCTCAAAACATGTAGCTGGACATGGTGGCATAGACCTTTTAATCCCAGCACTCAGAAGGAGAGGCAGGCAGATCTCTGAGTTCAAGGCCAGCCTGGTCTGTGGAGGGATTCCAGGACAGTGGGGCTACATAATGAGACCCTGTCTCAAAACAAACAAAACAAAAATCCACATTCCACATGCTCAATGCCTGACACACAGTGGGGCTCCAAAAACTAGGATGTGTAGGTTAAAGACAGCATGCCTAGCACATGCGATGTCCTATGCTCCGAAGCAATAATTGCAGCGAGTAAACAGGCACTCAGCGCTGCTTGCTCTGCCGGATGCTGGGTTGTCTTTTTATTGAGTTTTGTTTTTAAGGCAGGTTTGATTCTGTGTCGAGGTCCAGGTCCTGGGAACTACAGCTGAGGGCCACCATGCCAGTCTGCGTTTGCTGTTTCTGTTTGTCTGTGTAGTGCTGGGGCTCGGTGCAGGGCCTGTGCACGCTGAGCGTGTGCTCTGCCGCAGTTATGCTGCTGTGGCTCTGTGGCTCTCATTGTTATTGATCTTTTATTCTTTGATCCTAAATTTGAATTTTTATTACACTTGTAAATTTGCTTATTTGTGTGTGTGGAGGTCAGAGGACAGCTTGCAGGGTTGGGCTCTGTCCTTGCAGTTTGTGGACTCCAGGGACGGAGCGCAGGTCCTCAGGCGTGGCAGCAGGCATCTCTGTCTGACAGGCTCTGTTCTGCCGTTTCACCTGGGGCGATCTCTGTTTCACTGAGACTCAGTTTTCTCATGTGATCAATGGCCTTCATAATGTTCTATGTTGGGAGAATTTCTGAAAGTTTCTCATGAGAAAGCTGGGGTTAGGACTCGGTGGCAAAGTTGCCTGTCTAGTATGTGTGAGTCCCGAGACTAATTCCAGTCCTAAACAGGCAAAAGAACAGAGTAGCAGGTTCTCAAAACACAGGCTGTGCTATCAATATAGTATTAAAATTAGGAAACCCTAAACCAGGCGGCAGCGCTGCACACTTTTAATCCCAACACTTGGGAGTCAGAGGCAGGCGGATCTCTGTGAGTTTGAGGTCAGCCTGGTCTACAGAGCTAGTTCCGGGACAGGCACCAAAGTGACACAAAGAAACCCTGTCTCAAAAAACATAAGTAGATAGATAGATAGATAGATAGATAGATAGATAGATAGATAGATAGATAAAATTAGGGAGCCGAATCAGGCATGTTTGTACACATCTTTAATCCTGGAACTCAGGAGGCAGAGACAGGCAGATCTCTGAGTCCAAGGCCAGCATGGTCTACAGAGTGAATTCCAGGATGCCAGGGCAATACAGACAACCCTTTCTTGAGAGAGAGACAGAGAGAGAGAGAGAGAGAGAGAGAGAGAGAGAGAGAGAGAGAGAGGAAGGGAGAGTGAATGTTAGGAACCTTGCAGTGTTCACCTTCTGACTGCTGTGCCCATGACAGGCATTACTAATAAGCCCAGGATTTAATCAATGCAGGGCATGTTCCTCCGGAGACTAATGTGGCTTTGGAGTACTCTGAGCAGATGACTGTAGGTAGCCACTCTCAGCTGATTGGCGATCAGAATTGACACTCTATGACACCCTTTCCCTCACCCTATTGTACTCAAGATGCCCAGGGCCTTGCTCGTGTGAGGAGAGTGCTCTGTCCCTGAACTACACCCAGTCTGGTGTCAACCTTTTAGAGACTGAAAGGCAGCTGGGCCTGATGGAGCACTTCTGCCTCCACAGCCACAGGGGAGGTAACCAAAGACCTTTTAAGTCAAGACTTCAGGAGCTACCCCAAGGGCAAGGTTTGCAGCTCAGCTGGGGGAAATGCTTCTTGGCATATAACGAAACCTGGATTGGATTCCCAGCTCCACTCAAACTGGGCACGCTAATACAAGCCTGTAAATCTCAGTTTGTGAAGAGTGAGGACTCAGAAGTTCAAGGTCAGGAACCAGGAGAACCAGGAGAAGGCCAACAAGTCAAGGCTTTTGCCATCAAGCCCAACGACCTGAGTTCAATACCTGGGGCCCCCAAGGCAAAAGGAGAGAACCAGTTGTGTGTGGAGTCAGTACTCATGGGATGGTTATAAATAATGCTGCTGAGGCAGGGGCATGAACCTTACAAATCTACTTCCACTTCTTACAACTAAGCCCATAGCAGACTTTACTAACTGACCTCAGTGTGCTTCCCAGCTGCCCTAACACAGGGCAGGGCTTTAAATGCTTCCTCGGGCTGCTGCACCCTTAGTCTGAGGTTCAGCAGTGTGGCCTGGGGTTCAGGAAACTTTAGGGAGCAGATCTGAGGATGCACAGCTGGGCAATGGGAGCTGGCACCACTTGCGCGTGGTTGGCGGAGATCAGCAACTCCCTCACCAACCACTTTTAAAAATTTAACTTTATTAGCATGCGTGTGGTTATGATGGGCATGCGTGTGCCGCAGTGGGTGTTTGTGAAGGTAAGGGGACAATGTTGTGGGTCCGTTCTTTCCTTCCACCTTCACATGAATGCTTGGGTTAAACTCTGGTCCCAAGA